ACCTAGCCTAGCCTCAACCAACCTAGCCTAACCTACAACCTAGCCCACCAACAAACCACAACCAAACCAGCCTAACTAAACCAACCTAACTCAACCAGACCTAACACAAACCAACCTAACCTAAGCCAACCTAACACAAACCAACCTAACTTTAAACCAACCTAACCTAAACCAACCTAACCTAAACCAGCCTCAACCTAAACCAACCTAACCTAAACCAACCCACAACACAAACCAGCCAAACCTAAACCAGAGCCAAACCTAAACCAACTATACAAACCAACACAACACAAACCTACAACCAGGCCTAAACCAACCTAACCTAAACCAACTAACCTAACCCAACCAAGCAAAGCCAAACCTAACACCAACCTAACACAACCAAGCCTGACAAACCATTTCAACCAAACCAACCTATTAAACCAACTGCCTAGCAGCCACCCACAAACCTACTGCAAACCAACCTAACACAAACCAGCACAACCTAAACCAACCTAAACATAAACCAACCTAGCCTAAACCAACCCTAACCTAAACCAACCTAAGCTAAAACCCAGCAAACCTAAACCAAGCCAAACCTAAACCAACCTAACCTAAACCAGCGAACCTAAACCAACCTAACCTAAACCAAACCTAAGCTAAGATAGTGGAACAGACAAGATGGTACCCGATATATCATGTTATTCAGACATTCGTTCAGGTGTATAATATTAAATTCTACCTGTTATTGATGGTGTGTGTGTGTGTGTGTGTGTGTGTGCATTGTAAATGGTGATAATAAAAGTTGTTATACTGACCCTTCATTATACAGAATCACCTGGCTGGCGTAATCGGGCGGAGCAGTTCGTGACCCCCCACCCACACACGGTGAGAGGCGCCCACACAGGTAAGGGGCATCCACATTCACGCCCTGAATGATAAACTACCACTGTACCCCCCCCCTATTCTAAATTTATTCCTATCAAATCACGTATTTTCCTTCAGATAACCAAAAGTATTATTTTTGTATATCACCTTTTAACGTTGATAAAAATTCATATAATTTCCTACAAACACAAAATCATTATCATTTATTATTACCATCTACTCTATATTACCACATAATTATTTTTATCCATCAAAAATCATAATAATCTTATTTAATATATAACTATACCTCGAAGTCATATTATCATTTATCTTTATATAATTCACAAAATCATTCCCTACCTCAGCAAAACACAAACGTCACTCAGGTGTATATGGACTGAACCCATTGAGCTGTGTCGAATATTAAATCGGTCACCATTTATCAGGTCTTTATCAGATATATTGGACGCACCACACGGGTTATATTTCCCGTGAGGATGTGAGTGTGTATATCTGAGAGAGAGAGAGAGAGAGCTTGTGTGTGTGTGGACTGTGTAGAGAGCTGCCTTTCCATGCACACACATACCTCTCAAGCACCTGTGTCGGGAATAATGAAGTGTAGCGAAAAGTTCTGTCTGTCTGTCTGTCTTATCCACCTCCCCCCCTCTCTCTCTTCCTTACACAGTTCCTGGAGAAACAAGTCACCCGGAAGTGTTCGTCAGTAGAGGTACAACTCGAAGCTGCCGTTATACTCAGTTCCCCCTCCAACCCCTAGACCTCCTCCTCCTCCTCCTTCACCCCACGAGCATTCCTTCGCCTCCGCTGCCGCAGTCACCGCTATTACGATCACTACTACTATTACTACTATTATTATTACCAATCATTATTATATCTATCACTACCACAACTACCACCATCGTCATCATCCCACCCTCACCACCATCGTCATCACCACCACATACCACCATCGTCATCATCCACCACCACTACCATCGTCATCACCACCACCACAACTACCATCGTCATCATCACCACCACGGCTACCACCATCGTCATCATCACCACCACTACCACCATCGTCATCATCACCACCACGGCTACCACCATCGTCGTCACCACCGCTACCACCATCACACATGCATCTCCTTTCCTCCCTCTCTCTCCATCTCTCCTCTGTCCCTCCCTCCTTCCCTCTCTGCTTCCTCCACCAATAAGGACCAATTAGGCACCATTACACAGCACTAACACCATTAGACACCATTCAGAAGGCGATCAAGACAGAACAGCGCCATAAGGAGGGAGAGAGAATATGTTGGTTCATCCCTATGCTACCTCCCCACCTCCTCCCCCCCACCCCCCACCCTGTTACCACACACTTCCAATGGTACTTCACTTCACCTTGGTATTTCCTCCTCCCCCCCCTCCTTGGTACCCTGTTGCATGTGGTACCTCTTTACCTGGTGGGGTATTAAGGGCATTCACCACCTCAACTCCCGCGCGACCTGACCTGCCTGACCTGACCTCATCTGCGGTAGGGTGGTTAAACTTCAGGCGAAATAAGCTGGGATGGAGATTCTTCAGGTTCCTTTAACTAACCATTTCGGGGAAGGGGGGGAGAAAGGAGGGAAGAGGAGGTATAAGACTGGTGTGGCATTTCCGCTCCCAAGTGACAGGTTAGTAGGGAAGGGGGGGAAGGGAGAAGAACCATCTACTTTTTCATGGTCCTCCCTCAAGGCTGTCCGCCTCCCACCACAATTCCACTTCCCTCCCCTTTCT